ACCCTAAGGACACACCCCCCTACCTTAAGGACACACCCCCCTACCTTAACGACACACCCCCTTAATATAATTAGTTAGAATTAACGTCATGTGACCCTCCAAACTGTACAAGCGCCAGGGCTAGGGTCAACCTGTAGGGCATGGCGGTAGGGCATCACAATGATACAATGTAATCACTTCATATTTTGATATGCTAAAAGATTAGTCTATAATACTAAGATAGCTGCTCCTATAGACTATGCTAGCTCTAGAAATCATGCCCCTACCGCAAGCCAGTAGGCAGCAGGCTCCTGCGGCCTGCCATTATATCTACAGTATTGCCTATCAGCAGCTTGCAGACTGTAGTGAATATAAAGGTATTCCAGTAGAAATAACAGGGATAATATAATTCTGATTAATGTATGAGTAAATAAATAATGCTTCGAAAGCCTATCTTATAGTTTTCCTATCTCTTAATTTTGTATGGTAAATCAAAAAGTTAGGATTATAGCGACCGGTGGGGGTCACATGACGTTAATTCTAACTGATTATGTTAAGGGGGTGTGTCGTTAAGGTAGGGGGGGTGTCCTTAAGGTAGAGGGGTGTGTCCTTATTAAGACCCTCATATCAATTACTGCCCCGCTGGCACTTGCGCATGGCACATTATTTCAATTTCTTGGAGGCGCCATAGTTCGACCAAGTCTATCATGGTATCCTCTCGAGCCGTAAAAATAGCCCGGCCTGTTATAGCAGGTATATAGCCTCTCACTCCGTTACGTAGATATTGTGCCGTCTTTCCATCAGATCGCGCTCAAACCACCGTCTAGATTGAGGACGCAGTTGTTCGCGTATTCATTCTGCGCCAGGAACACAGCAGCGTCAGCAACTTCATGCGGAGTACCAAACCTCCGAAGAGGAACACTGTCTTTCAGTCTGGAGGTTTCGCCGTCGCTGAAATCTGCAGTCATATCGTTAGTCTTCGTTCAAGAATGGTCACAAACACGACGTCTCCGCTAGGACTCGACTCACCAGCAATCATCGGCGTTTGTATATACCCCGGAACTATCGCGTTGGAACGAACGGCAACGCCTCTCACGGAATGGGCAGCTTCCACAGCTAACGAGCGCGTCAGTCCAAGGATGCCAGCCTTGGATGCAGCATAAGGTACCGCGCCGGTGCCTCCCTTGATTGCAAGCAAGGAAGAAATGTTAATAATGCATTTTGAGGGGACTGGTGTTTCAGGGATGCTGGAGGTGCCGCGATTCTTCATCCGACTGCGGATCGAGGCGCGGACGAGAGCTCGCGAGGCTAGCATTGCGCCCTCGAGATTTGTGCGAAGAACTCGGGAGATATCGTCTGGTTCAATTTTGGCGAGGATGTTCGAGATGGAGATGCCTGCGGCGTTGACGAGGATGTCTACCGGTTGCTGTTCGGGGGTGTTAGATACCATCATCCGAGACTGGGCCGGAGAGCTCACCATTGCCTTCTCCAACTCGCGCAGCCAGGTCCCGGCTTCTGATACATCACCGACGAGGAGACTGACTTTACTCGAGGACTCAATCAGTGTACCTTGTGACTTTGTCTCTGTATCTTTGTTTTGTAATTGTTGATCTGTTTCTGGTGCTTTAGTTGCTACTTCGCGAATGATGCTATCACCGCGTGATTCGACGGCAGCGAAAGTGTTCACAGATGTTGGCGCCTCCAATTTGGAAGCAGCTTTGACAAGCCGTTCATGGGATCTGCCAACGAGGATGATGCGCTTGGCACCTTCTTGGAGGAATCGCTCTGCAATGGCGAATCCAATGCCGGATGTGCCGCCTGTGATCATACATGTTCGACCAGATAGTCGGTCCGAAGACCTGAAAGAAGGACTACCACCAGTGCTGGATGCGGTAGACGATGACCATCGGATGAGTGGCCTTGCGAATAAAGTAGGTGCATGAAGCTTGGTCGTGGCTTGATGAGCAGGCTGTGCTTGAGGGCATAATGTGAATGATGTCGATGCTGCGGCGCCGCGGAAGCGGGAACGCAAAATATGTGTATGGTACATAGGCATGAGTCGGTGATGGTCTTTTCGTCAAGACAAAAGAAAGATCTTTCCTATGTGTATTGATTTATGATGAATCCGGCCTGTTTCCTCCATGAACAACCGAGGAGCTGTTGGACTGCTTATCGGCCAGAACAAAATCAGTTCAATTTCTAGACTCGACTCAGATCAACTCCAGATCAGCTTGATTGGTAATACAAGTATCCTTGGGAGTCCAAAATTCAGAAATTGAAGTCTTTATAGCATATCCTCCCAAACAATGTATCTCTAGGGCTGAACTGGATGGTGATCCGTTGAAGATGAGATCACATCGTTATCGGAACAGCTTCAGCACGGACCACGTGGGAAGACAAATCGCGTTTCATCTTTTCCCCGGTCATCAATCCTTTCTTACAACTCCAGTCACTTTCATCACCTCCAATATGGCGTCTTCATCATCTACACCCTCCGAGTATGTGACACTGGTATCAGGCGACGGATTCGAGTTCGTGATCCCGCGGAGTACAGCCTGCGTCTCTGGAACAATACGACGCATGCTGGAACCTTCGAGTAAGACAGATCGGTCCACCTTTCTTACACGCGGGAACAGAAACTGACATGCTCTTCACTATGTTGCAGGTAAATTCTCCGAGGCAATAACAGGTCGCTGCGTGCTGGAAAACATCAGCGGGGTGGTTCTCGAGAAAGTATGCGAGTACTTCTGTTACAACGAGAAGAACAAGAGCCAGACCAATGTGCCCGATATGGATATTCCTCCGGAGCTGTGCTTGGAGTTGTTGATGGCGGCTGATTATCTGGATACTTGATAGGTGGGGAGTATGTTTACGGTCGTTGACCTGTGCCTCTACCTTTTGACTGATGGATTCTAGTTGGACTCTTTTCACGATTCATGAGGCAACGACTTCTGCAATGCATGGATTATGACTGTTTCAACAACCGGAGTTGGTGGCTAGGTATCTTCTATAGAAATGAACCATGCGTTCGGTGGGGGCTAGGTATCCTTCACGCATACGAAAAAGAACACATTTGTCTCTTAAGCAGACCTATCGGCAGAGGCAGCCTTGTGCTCCTTCTTCCCATGTCATGGAGCATCTGCTCTAGAGGTTGGCACTCGCCCACCGACTTAGCCATCTGAGCATCCCGTCCGGTCCTAGCTCAATGGCCGGACGATCTAAAGATGATGGCAGAGCAGTCATCTCCCTTTTATTCAGTCCTCATCCATTTTTCCATGGATATGAGAGCTTTATTCCAGGGGAAACATGCTCCTTCGATATCCGTGATCCAGGGTGGTTGTTGCTGATGCAGGGGACAGTGTTTGGTCATCGCCCCTTTGGTTTCGGTTTCGAAAATCTTCCTAACTTATTTCCTTGAGGAGTGCCTCTGTTCTCGTATAGCTTTTCCTTCCCAAACGCGGCATCCGCAACTCGCAGGTAACTCACAACACCTTGGTCTATAACGGCGAGAATGACGTTTCGATACCCTTGCCGTAGCCGCATATAGAGCTGTCTGTCCATTTTCTCGCCTCGCGGCGGATCTAGCGGTGTGCTTTCGAGCAAAGCGCCCAGCTGTGACAGTGTGGGCATAGAATGAGTGCGGGAGTCGACGACAGCAATCCTGAAATCGGGGGCGGGAGGAGCAGACTTGCGGAAGGGCGTTGAAGGTTTATATACATGGAAGACAACCCGGAAGGGAGCGTCTGTTCGTTGAGCTGGAGTTTGAGGGACTGTAGGATCATGCCACGGTATAATTGAAAGCTTGCGGTAGATATCATCTGAAAAATTAGTTGGTTTGTACATCAGGGCTTCCATGACCGACTCACTATAGCTGCGATGGATTCCAACACCGACAAGGGGCATTGTCGCAGTCCCAAGACTTGGAGTCTGAAGCCATTTCATGAACCGCTCATACATCCCTGCTAGACCAGCACCGACCCGAACCGGCTCCTGTTTCTCTGAATCGACACTGGGTTCCTCCGCGTCGTCATACCACCCAACCGCCCGAGTAAGCGTATAACCCAAACGCTTCAATCCCGTATAAACCGTAAACCTATCGATGGTCAATCCACCGCGCCCAATAAAACATGCATACGCAGCCTGCAAGCTCATTGGAATCCCCGAGTCCCCCGCATCCCCAGTATCACCACACCCCGTCGCGGAAACAGGCCACCGAATCTCCAGACTCCCTCTTTCAAGCAGGTACAGCGCCTCCTCAGGGAGCAACCACACCCTATTCGACCGATCCGCCTGGCCCATCGTCTTGAAGAACTGGCCCTTCGGATTGGCCACGTACACACACGATTCCGGATGAACGCCCAGCTTCGTCAGCGCTGATTTTCCCGGTTTCAACTCGGTTTTCTGCGTTTCATCTTCCGCTACGGGCGCTATCGACGGCGGTGCGGGCCCGTCTGGCGCATATACGCCTACGATCTTGTGCTTTGGGTGGTGGAGTCGGGGGTATGAGAGGGCATTGTGCATAGCCCTGCGTGAGGCGGCGAGGACATCAGCTTGGAATTCGGTCGGGTTCGGCTCGAAGTCTTTCTCTCCTCGTTTGGGGAGGCTAGACTGTGATGGATCTGCAAGGCTATGGGCATTGATGCAGTTTAGTAGCTGGACTGGACATCTAGTAGGCTAATTGGGTCGCGAAGCAATACTGACAAGGAAATGTGGTTCAGCATGCGAAAGTCTTGTGTTTCGTCCGACAGGTCGGTCTCGATGTGGGTAGAAGTGTCGTTTGAGGGCAGACGAGCGACATCTTCGTCCATGTCCGCCATTTTCGGTATGAATAAGTCCCCTGGCTCTGAGGTGAGTATGTTGTTCAGTGGTGAGAGCTGATATCGATCTGCGATAAAAAAATCTCGGTGGTTCAAGCTTATCAGTTCCGCTCGCCGACTGCGAATCGCGGGGAAGCCGTCCATTGATAATATTTTATGGAACCCCTTTGCATTCCCCTTAAGAGACGGATTCTGATATGCCATGGAGTCTGCTATTACAGATTATAACGAAATACTTGATCAGGTATATCTCAACCACAGAATCAATCAGGCACCTCCTAACCTCAGCCAGATCTACGCAAACCTCACCAACGCTCTCAATACCTTTGGTGCCTCCTCCCAACAGTATCAGAATATATTGAAGATACTAAAGGAGTGCCTGGATGAGATCGAAGACGATAGAAAAGAGAAGTCTGCTGCTGTCAACCCGGATACCCTGAGCTTGGCGATGAAGTTCTTGGAGCTTGGGAGATGATTTACCACTCTCAATGTCTCAGGTCTGATTGACGCTGAATGCGAATTTCCGTTGATCAAGAACAACCTCGTGTCTCTCCGGATCCGCCACATGCGACAAGTGGATGAGTCCAGCGTGGTCTGTCGGCATGAAAGGAACGTTCGACCCAAGCCAGTGGTTTCCTGGAGATCGTCCTCATCAAGTCAGTCTGGGGAGCTGAGTGAAGTGAAAGACCTTAGGCCATGTTCAGTCATTCCGGCATCATAGATCTTACATATTATATTGAACTATATGGCTAGAGGACCATATGAGAAAAGCGAGTGTTCCACCGGCGACGGTTCCCAAGATACAAGCAAAGCCGACCAAACACCTCGTTTTCCCCGCCCTAACAAACAACAAAACGGAAAGGCTACCCTGAATGACATGCAACAAGACAAACTCCAGACCCATGCATTCATAAAACATGACCATGCTTTGCTTCTAAAGCAGGTTGTACCGCCATGATTGGGAACCTTCGGCTCTCTCATAGGTGGTTGGCGGCTGAGGTAGTAGAGGACTTCTAAGCAGACCACAGATATTCTAGTCTAGTTCGAAAATGTCATGGATTCAGAAATCGAGCCATTTCTCAATCGATCAGTGGCTTCTTCTGGTTTCCAACGATTGCCACTCCGAGATGTCGTAGGGCATTGGGATCATTGGGCCGTACAATAGACGGGAGTGGTAACATAGGATTATCTGGGTTCACGTGAACTGCATCTCGAGCAGCTTGCTCGATGGCTTCCATTTCTTCTTTGCACCCCGCGTGGTCAAGAGGACAAACGACGATTGGCTGTCGAATCGCAATGTCTCGTGCAGACGTCAAATGCGCCTATACTTGGGTAAGCCGGGATTCGATAATTGCCCTGAGTTGGCTGGGTAAAAGTACAAACCTTGACTGTCAAATAGTACTCAATTTTGTAGAGACTTGCTGTAGTAGTAAACCCGCTCACAGCATAAGTCGGAAAAGCTGGTTTACCTCTAGGAAGAATTCCCTCTGCATCTCGGAGATCCTTTGCCGGAAATACCAAGCCCAAGTTCGTCAAGAAGCCGGTAGGCGGCAACTTCACGCCAATGGGTTCTGTTCGTTTGACCAGCGTTTTGACCTTGCGCTGTGGTTCATCGCCCTCGTGGTTGTAGATGATCTCCTCATCGATACCAATTGTAATCTTGTTGATTGTGACTTTCCTTGCTTTGGTCATCCAGTCCGGATTTGGTGATAGCTTGACGTAGACGCTGACGGGGTCGAGAGGCCCGTAGGACCATCGCGGTAACGATATTCCTAGAGTCACCAAGTGATCTGTTACTCGTTCCGCCGATTCGGGGCGATTGTACATTCCAAACGTGGATAGTGTGTCGTATCGTGAGATAGGGACCGGAAATGCATACTTCCTTTGTTCCGATTGTCCCTGCTGGACCGTCACGACAATTTCGTAGTATGTCTCCGCAGTGCGACTGGGGAGCTGCAGGCTGGCCGGAGGAACGCGTCTTGAAGAGTCCGATCCACCACGTCCGAACGGGATGAAGAGGACAAAAGGCAAATCCATGGATATCACTTCCTCATATTCTCGGCCGGCTGGACAGCGAAAGAGCAGCATCTCCTTGCCGACGATATCAGTTAATTCCTTCCTAGGGGGCGCAAGATGCTTCTTGGTCACGGAGTCCGCTGACGGGTGTATCGTCTCGCGGCGATGGAGAGATACGGTCACGAGGGATACATTGACGGGTGCGGTGATGCCGATGCTGGGTCTGATTTCGACTTTACCTTCAATTCGCGGCTGCAATCAAAACGTTAATTTCGCACAGTTTCACACACCCATTCGGGCCAGCGCTTACCATAGTCGCAGAGATACCAGGGTAACCGATCAGGAAATTGCCGTTCGGCGGGCCTGACACTCGCACGAAGGCGGCCATAGTGAGAGTGCTGTACCCGCACCACCATGGGCACGCGGCGGTTGGAAGGGATGCGCTCCGGGGTTGTTGCGGAGATTATGCGACTCGAGGGACGTCGGTTTCCGCTGACAATTCATAGAGACCACGGACGATCAGGCTGTCCCGCTTAATCGCATCTGCGCCAAGGGTCTTGCAATGACGCAGGTGCACTGAACGGCTGTGGCTTTCTAGGAGGTACAGTCACGGATTCAAAAGTAGGCGGTAAAAGCTGCTCGTCGATACTGTGTGTAGCTTCGGTATGGGGACGGCGAGTCAATCGCAGGAGGACGGACAGTTGTATTGTATTAGCGATGATGGATTTGAGTGGCCATAGAGGTCGCAGAGGCGGTTTGTTTATTGGCGCCGATGTGGGGGGAGGAGAGTGATGGGGAATATTTGCAGCGGCTAAGTCCAGGACTTCTGCTTCCCTCTCGACACTCGACAGACAGAACTGCCCCAGGCCTCGCTTCGCTGTAATTCGCGACGATCGGCATCCAACACGAGGGCTAGATTATGACATGACTTTTCAAAGCAGAGTATTGGACGGTTATCTTTCAGCCTCAGACTCGACTCCTGAGAAAACGTTACTCTTTGACTATGTACCCATTATTGTTGATTGATGTTCCCTTTGTCTAAGGTTATGGAACGGGGGACCCTGGAACTCACCGATAACTCAGTTTGAGCCTCAGGCGATTTTAAACATCATACTACCTTACTAGCCGCTATAACAGTTTACTTGCACCTCCGCCGGGACTGGAGGCTTCTCAGATGCCCAAGAAATCGTTCGCTGTCGATGCCGCCGCTCATCATCCAACAGAGTACCTCTTCAGTGGTCTACGTCATAGCCTTGTTGGATACCAACTCCACAGTCATCAGCTACGATCTGACCGAACCGACATGGCATTCAGCCCCCATCGTTGCTTCGACTTGGCACAATCCACGTCAGCTCAAATTACTGTGATGGCTAAAGGATTCTCATCAACTACAATCGCTCATCAGACCACGGTTAGCGACGACGGGTGAGCGCCGGAACCATTCTCTTTATCAAACAAGGATTTCGGGATATCATCACCAACCATCTCTAGAAGTAAACACACAGTTTTGTAGATTATCCTTACTCGGGATTTGCATTAGGCTTTTCTGACCGTGTGAAGGCTGTGACCGACCTGCGGCTGTCTTAACAACCTCCGTCTAAGACGAAGAAGGCTCAAGATTTATTCATTCATATTCTAGATGCTTATCTCCAGACTCAGTCGGGGACTGAATGGGCAATGTATAGACCTAGCCAATTACAGCATTGGTACCAATTTGTGGGCCGGAAACATGATAATATATCTGTCTACCTCTCTAGGAATGCTTACGGATCTGCGCCCAATGCAACAGTCAACGTGAGCTTTCAACTTGCTTGCTCTTTTGTGGTTATAAATAATGAAAGGGGCAAGAGTATGATAGATGAACATTCGGCACCATGGAGTATCTACCAGATCTATATTTGATCCTAGAGCTGTACGTAGTGCCAGGTTAGTCTAGGGCCTGGAGATCATGTATGTACCTGCATTGGATAACCGATTTAGGGATTCCCTTTTAAACACATTGCGGAAGATCCGAGTCTAGGGCCATCTGTACTCCAAACTTACCCCCAGTTTCATATTCTCAGGGGCACAAAAGTATCAAAGTACTATGTACCTCCATCCAGTGGTTGATCGTTGATGGTTCGGTTGCCATGTGCAACGCCCACCATGACATCGCTTTTCTCCACATCCACCGGAACCACATCTCACAAACTCCAAGTTGCAAGTGCAACAACCCATCAGACTTTAACAGGGCCTCAAACGGCCTATATCAATACAGATATTACATACATATCCCGGAATCAATTGAATATGCCTACCACTCGTCGCCGCGGAGGCAACACTGCCGCCTCCCGCTCCGGTCAGTCGACGCTTTCGTTCGGTGGAAAGTCCAGAGTCACCAAGCCATCGGCCACATCGGCACGATCTCAGAAGACCAAAGATCTCGAACCAATCTCAGCTTCTGTCACCTCGACCGAGGAGGTCTCAGAGCCGGAGCAAGTACCAGTCGCCCCCTCGGAGCCGTCAAAGCCGCACGTTGCGGAGCTCGCCGTCAGACAGCAAGCCCGCGAGGAGATCCGGCAACCCTTGTCCGAGGAGGATCAGAAAGCGATCAAGATCACAGAACAGGAGCTGCAGCGGTATTGGAAGAAGGAAGAGGAGAAGAGGAGGGGGCCTCGAGGTGGGTTTGCGGATTGTGATGTTGATAACCAGTTTGTGAGGGAAAGGAAATGCTCACGATACTCCTGATGAGCAGTCCACCAGGAAGATCTTTCGCTGCACGAGAAGATACTGAGACATTTTGATCTGTCTAGTCAGTATGGGGTATGTCTATTATATTTACTACTTGCCGCTTTCGGCGCTGAGAGCTTCTCTAACATCATATAGCCATGCATCGGAATTGCTCGACTAAAGCGCTGGAGACGTGCGAATATGCTGAAACTTAACCCTCCTATCGAAGTCCTTGCCGTTTTGCTGAAGGAGAAGTACACAGTGAAGCAGAGAGCTTATGTCGACGAGTTGCTGTCTTGAGATTCGTTCTATGGGATTTTTTATCATTTATACCATGACCTGGGAGGGTAATGAGGTACTGGATCGGCGTTGGGGTTTTAAATCCAAGCAGGGCGTTCGGTCTATTATGCAGAATATACATCGACAGGAATCAATTCATGACACGGAGCTTCTTCTTTCTTTTGCTGATTTACTAGGTTTGATCACACTGCTAAGTCGACTGCACTGCTAGTAACGGGATACTTCGAACATATAGTCATGTCTTTTGGCTCGAAATTCCTTCGTACGAAAGTCTGATGCCAATGTATCCTCGAGTCTTTCTGTGGTGGCACTGGAAGCTATTAAAAACATCTAATGAACCCGGCTCTTTTCTCTCCATGTCTGTATCCGATCCCTTATCGACCGCTTTTTAATTCAATTGTTTCTGAGCTTGCGGGAAGCAATAGCTTACTGTGGCCACTTTCCCAATGTTGTTACGCAGAGTACGTACGCAGCAAGACTCTCACCTGAGGTCGGGTTGTGCATTGGCTTCCATAAGAAGTGATCTGCAGCGCAGAGTACTAATGCATTATCGAACACAAGCACCAGTCCGTTTGGCCAGGTCAAGGATGAAAATCCTATTTGCTTGTTATTCCGTCTGTCTCGTGGAGGGTCATCACAATGCAAATAAAGCCTGTTTAGCTCTTCCTTCCAAACTCTTCCTTGAGTCTACTCTGGCTGCAATTCTTACTCGCTGCTAATCTCAGCCAGTTCAGTATCCGATCTTGAACTTCACCCTGTGGAGCTCCGCCAGGTATCAAGTACTTCTAGACTTTCGTGTCCATCAGTTTGTTTGATTATGCGGGAGTGAGACATTAATTGTTAATGCTTGAGTAGAAAAAGTTCTGGCGTCTCAGAGTCGATCATCTGTCTCCCCCGCACCTGAGCTGTTCAATCTCCTGCACCGAGTATCAACCTTGACTTTTTGGCTGAAGCTTTTCTCTCCCATTTGTGGGATGCATCGTCTTGGATGACAGGCTGATGATTCATGCAATGCTACCTTACCCTGGATGGCTGGTTTCTCGCTTTTCCTATCCCTGTGAACTTTCGGTGCTTTTGTTCTCCTGGTAAGAATCTATCCATGCAGTATTCTTGAATTTTGCTCCTGGAAATGCTTCCAATTAATGGATGGCCTGATCACCTTCTGTTATGCTTGACGCTTATGGTAGAAGGTGAGGGGTTTTCGGACTACCCTGCTGCAATACCTGAGAGAGACTCCTTACTTACACTCAACAGTGCACAGCAATGTAACACACCTCGGGCTTAGAACTCATCAGAGTAATTAAGGGGGCAGTGTCCTCGAACGAGTGCGAGTTACACAAGCTTCCCGCAAACCAGACCCAGTGGCGACGAATGATAAGATGAAGTTTGACATGCAGACGTCAAGCTTGGCTGTGGTCAACTGGCTCTGGATCTGTCGATCATCATGACCCCCAAAGGTTTCAAGACTGAACTGCAGCATGTGATGCAGCTGTCCAGGATCTGGTGCAACCGTCCTGGCTTGGACTAAGGTATATAAAAGGCTTCCTTCCCCTGGATTGTACAAAATTGCATTCAACAGTCTTCACTCTTTCAGTATCTTGTCATTTATACTGTCGTTTCTGAATTGATCTTTTTTTGTCCAATATTGTCCTCTGGATTAATTCGATCACTTGACATTCAATATGCACTTTGCTCGTGCTTTACTCGCCCTCCTAGCTGCTGGCCTTGTCAGTGCGCAGCTACCGGATGTCCCGAACTGCTCTGTAAGTGTACAAGTCATCAACATGACCACCGAGGCTAACCTCTCTCATTAGCTAAACTGCTTTGTCTCTGCCCTCACCAATGATGGATGCTCGTCCTTGACCGATTTCGCCTGCCACTGCCAGAAGCCTGAGCTTGTTTCGAAGGTCACGCCTTGCGTGCAGAAAGACTGCAACGTCGCCGATCAGTCTGGTAAGTCTGCCTCAGCCCACAAACATCCATCGAGACAACTGCTGACAATCTGTACAGCTGTCTCCAGTGCCGTCGTCTCTCAGTGCTCTGCCGCTGGTTACCCAATCTCCGTGCCTCCGGTCGGCGCTGCCAGCACCACAGCTTCGGAGTCAACGACCACTACAGAGTCTACAACCCAGACTGTGACTCAGACCACATCCGGCTCCTCATCCACTGCGTCTTCCACTGGCGCCTCGACCTCTGCTACCTCCTCGTCGGCAATCTCTTCTACCCCATCTTCCTCATCGGCTGCGAGCTCATACCATCACTCGTCTAGCTCTGCGTCGGCCACGCACACCTCATCTAGCTCTGCATCTAGCAGCGCCAGTGCTTCCGCAACTACCAGTCTGTCCAACGATGCCGGCTCCAACAAGGGCAATGTCGCGGGTGTTGCTGCCGTGGCGGCCGCTGCTCTCTACTTGTTGTAGGTAGAGATAAACGATGAGACAACGTGAGTAGGATTTGAGCCGGGCATCTATCGGGAGACTCGTGCGAATGTATATCTATACTTAATAGTCATTTCAATGGTTGCATGATTCTCGATGCGTTGAGTTTCTGGTATTTTGTACTTCTTGCCTGCTAAGCATAGGGCTCCGACAAAAGTTCTCCAATAATCACACTCTTTACAAGGAAAGAATATTAATGACAAAGTTGGATGCTCCCTACAATGTGCTGCTTGATCTGCATCCATTCCCTAGTCCACACTTGAGAGAATTCTTTCAGAAAGGCAAACATGATCAGATGATCTAGACATGATATCAATCTTAACGATAACCACTGCTTCTGAGCTCCAGCATAAGGAGGTCAAAATCTGTACAGGCAAAATTGATAATCACATGTTGCTCATGCCCTAAGAACATCCAACTCAATCCAATTTTGAGCTACCCGACAATTCTCTTGTCAAGATCCAAAATTGACTGGACGTCACATTCTGATGGAATAGTCTATCTAACACCTCCCAACTATACAAAGCAGCAGACAAATCCTCGAAAGGAGAGTCCTGCATTTAATGATTGTAAGGTTGCCGTCAGAGTCAAACCGGCCGCAATCAATGCAACGAGGCCTGGAGGTAGAAGACCAGTTGATGCACAATATTCACTGCTTCAGGGTTCTATGGTCACTGCTACTTATCCATTTAGTCCACGAGGACGTCTGATTCCACCTCCACGAGACTAAGTAGACCTTGGTAAGTGTACAGCAGCGATGACTGTATACATTGCATACAGCACAATATTCAGGGCAATTTGCGGCTATATGACCCCGGCGTCTATACGAATGGCAAGTCAAAGTGGTTCGAGGCATTGCGAGGCAAAGAATGCCATAAGTTTCTAATGACTTATTAGTCTTTGGACTCCTTCAGACATTCAAAAAAGGGATACTTACGTAGTCCGCGGCCTCCAGTATGGGCCAAAGCAGCGAGGAGTCGTCACAGGTCTCAGTTAAATGAGACCACAAGGCATGGAACGCTTCCTAATGCCATAAAATTTGAAACGATCTCATAAAAAGACTCAAGGTCTCTATGGCCAATAGGAAATATCCCTTTGGCTCAGAGATGCGGTGCTCAGCCAGCCACGAACAACGAAATGACTGTAAGGAGAATCAGGGAAGAAGCCCAAGGGCAGAAGGGGGGAGAGGGGGGGGGGGGACTTATAGACGACGCTCCGAGGCTAATTGCCGAGATCAACTCGCTTAGCGAATGTTCCTTCACTTCAAACTGGAATGTCAGCTACAGTGTAGATTGAATGATCAGAATTTATGTAAGCCTCATGAATGCCGACCATCTTGCACGTCACTGAATGAGCAGTAGTATGATGTCAGAGCCTAGGCTTTTGGCTAGAAGAGACTATGAGCAAGTGGAAGGTAGTGAAGTCTAGACATGATAGAAGCTGGCGATTCACTGAGTGCCCCGTCTACCACTCCAGAATTGCTCAGTTTGAAGTTGTTTGTAGACTGTGTAGCTTTGAGTCTCTATTTCCGCAAACCTTCTCAATCTGCAGAAAAGGCATCGGAGTGAATGACAGCAGAGTCTAGCCCTTGCGTTCCGAATATCCGGTTATGAACGGGATGCCGCGTCGAAGACTCCGATGAAGCGGGCAGCATCCGATCATAGATGCTTCATGTTGCAACTTGCTTCTGGGGTGTATTACCTGTTTAACGGCAATAATGAACTGTTTTGTTATGTCTAGAATTCATTCCGGAAGAAGTAATTCCTCCTTTCTAGGATGCTACGTAGGGAAACGAGCGTGAGTCTGTTGTCCTGATGAGTAGACGTCTTCGCAAAAGCGCTATTCAATTCAATCAATCTCAAGATCAAAATAAGCAGTACGGAGAGTGTTGGAGCATAGAAACGCCGAAATACTCTATCCAGAGATGATACTGGCGAAGGAAGGTGGGATGGGAAAAGACGGACGTTGGAATAAAGTTGGGGGAGCTACGTACCCCAGAATGGTGTTCAAAAATTCAAAACAGCTGACCACACAAAGCCATTATCTCATTCTCTCGACCAGCTCTGATGCTGGACGAAACGACATCAACCAAGATCTTCTTTGTAATCTTTATTAAGATCGCAGCCACAGCGTCATCGCCCCTTTGCATTTAACCGAATAACCGCAACTCTCCTCTTCGTCCCTGGGATACCCCTCAGCACGGCCGCCACAAGGTTTGAGGGCGCCAACTCAATTTCTCGATCCCTGGATTCTTCCTTTTGTTAACTCGGCCTCGGCTTGAAAACTGCCGGGTCTTTAATTAATCAAATTCGCCGATTTCTTGACCTGCGTCACTCGGTCCGGGACACGAAACTGCATTCAGCACATGGTCGGATCAGTGATTCAGTATGTACACCTCTAGGCCAGATGTCGTCCGGGATCTAGTTATTTGTTGAGAAATCCTAGAATCTTGCGTGGAGTTCCCCGTGGAGACTGAAAGCTGGAGAAGCTGAAGGTGGGGGTCCCGGTGAGTACTCCTTGAATCCATCCATGGATGGAGTAGAACCGTTCATATAAAATTAGTAAAAGAATCACATAAGAACGGTAGAAGTCGAGTAAAGGGAGCATCCCTGAATCCGACATTAGATAATATAAATAAAGGGTCAGTCTATAAGATTTTTATTGATTCTCTTCTTACTAGATATTTACATAATACCCTTTTCTGAGGAGTACTGCCATATATACTTGTTCTAGCTTGGATATCAGCGCCTGTTTCTAGTAGAGCCTCTACTCCACTAGTCCTACCTAAGGAAGCAGTACAGTGGATTGGATAGATAAATTCCAAAGGCCGCTTATCTAGTTGTGCATCAAAGAATCATTCATAAAGGATAAGGGAAGAAAAGTAATATGAATAAGTTGGGGTATATTATTAGGGAAAAACATGACCATTTGCATTCCGGTACTGATCAAACCAACTCCCATTCTGTAACAAACGCGAACGCCATACGAACCCGACCAGCTTGCATACGATACTCTTCGACTGTCAGCCCCCTGCAGTCTTTCCGATCGCCAAACTCTGTCAGCACAGCGATTTGCAGCTTGCCCGGTGCACTGCCCAGTGTCCTGGGATCATCGACATCAATGAACCAATAATCCCCGCCTCCATTGCCCCGGACATGGGTAAACAGAATGGGTTCGGGCGTCAATAGCAAAAACAAGCTAGGCTTGACCTTTCCGTGACCCTCCAGCGTGAAATGCTCACAGATGAGACTGAATTGAAAGCGAAGCGGTCCCGGCTGGTGGACAGAGATCTGCTTGAGAGCCGGTAAGAAGCTCCGTTCGTTAATGAAATGCCGCTGTAGGTCGCCGAAAGTCCGGGGCTGCTCAATGCCAAACGGGACTTGCGGGTCCATCGTGATATACTCCTCCCAGCTCATCCCTGGCCTACCGTCCCGAAACTGGTGTTCTCGAACCCCCGGGAAGTGCTTGATGCCAAACTCTTCATTCGTCATGGTGAACAAGGTTGGGTTGAAGAGTTTCTGATATGGTTGCCCCGGTCCTTGAACCACTCCAGCACCCCAGCACACATCAATCAACTTCCATTGCCCATTGTCGATCCGCACTGCATTCCATGCATGGCCCGCGCTGTAAGGGGGGATACTGGCCCCGGGTCCCAGTGGCTGATAGCCGTAACCCTTGCCGTGGCCAGAGATCACGATCGCTTCCAATCCAGCGCGGGTTGCGAGGGCTGCAAAGAGCCCCGCGTAGCCCTCGCACACGGCAAGACCAGATGCAAGAGTACTGGCCGGTGTGGATGGCTTGACGCAATTGTTGAAAAATGCCGCAGTATCATAGCAAATATTATGATGACACCAGGTGAACAAAGCTCTAGCCTTGTCTGTCGGTGAAGGGAATGGGGCTGTAAGCTCGCGGGCCAGCCAGGCAAGATCATGTGTCGGGAGAGTCTCTCGCGGAAACCTGGCGGCGTGCGAGTCAGGACCGGAAAAGTCTCGGCATTTCAAGCACATTGCCGTTGAACCCGTAGTCGTAGTGGTTGGCTGAACACGCGGTTTAGTTGCTAGTAATTTGGAAAGGTCCGGCTTCTCTGGTCTTGACGTAATAGGGATTGGAGGCGGTGATCCATTCTGTGTCTCCGAGGGCACAGTCTTGTTCAATCCTCCGAAACCTGATTGTTGCAATTTGCCCAGAACAGAGCCCGAAGGCGGAGGCGGGGGAAGCTTCCTCGCCGGCTTGGCTTCCACTTCTGCGATTGGCGACTGGCCCTGACCGTCTCGCGAGGGGAGCCGCGGGGGCGGCCGAGGTGATGCATCACCAGTCTTGAGGTTGCTGTTGCTTGACGCTCGACGAATGGGCAAGGCAGGCCGAGCAGATGGAAGAGACGGCGGCTCTCTTATTGAAGGCAATGGAGGTGGTGGACTCTCTCTGCTCTGTGTAGTTGTCGGTTTCGGCCGTGGAGGCGCCTTGGGACTTTTCGCATCTTCTCTTCTCGGAGGAAGGACAGGTAACTCTGCCTCGTCATATTGAGGTGCGCGCACCGTACGAACGTTCCCAGATCCACTCGAGGAAGATGATCGCCCCGCTGTAGGTCTCGCCGCACTTGTCGATACGGTTGACCGGGACGTATCTGACGCAGCTGATTCGATAGAATTCACTGAAGGCCTGCGAGGTGGCAGCGCAGGCGCGAGTTGCTGATTGGAAGCTTTCCGTGTTGGCAGCGGCGGGGGCGCCTTGGGTTTCTGGGTGATCGACGGCGTTGTTGATGGCGGTCGAGGGGCAGGTGTAGGGGGTGCTGCTGGCTCATTGCCTATCACCGAGCGCTCAATGACAGAACCGTGGCCGTTGCCCGGAGGGTTGTTGATTGTTTTGGCCCGAAATGAAGGTGGTCGTGATGCGAATGGTGTCGGTTGCGATCCTACAAACGGTGGTGCGGGACTATCGATTTGTCCAGCTTGAGCCTGCTCCAGCGCCGCGATACGCTGCTGAATGGTGGACATCTCTCAGGTTTCTTCGATTAATACATATATCCAAGTGTGACAATAAGATAACGAACGCCACGGCTTGAGTGCAGCTAGTAAGCGAAAGTGAAACTAACAACCGAGGCGGGCAACTGGGAATGGCCGTGGACGCAAGCAGGAAAATGCATCCAACGACACTATCCAAAATACTCCAATCCCAAGCGAAGGGAAGAAAAAGAATGAATGTCCTGAAGACGCGGAAAGATATTTATAGGCCGTCCATGCTGCGGTCCCCTGTTACTGTTTTTTTAAGGCTCGCAAGGCTGACTGCCAGACTGGAGCCTGAGGTACCTTCCCCACCTTGACTCCACAAGTGACTGGTGCCTGAGGTATCCATACCATCCAAGGGTGCCATTTCAACATTTCATGTAATTAACCTATTTAAACATAGAACCATCGACTTCAGCATAGACTCAAGAAGGGTTACTGAGAAAAGAAGAGAAAAGCCCGGCTCCGATGATCGTACTCCAGAACAGGCCTGCCCTCCGGCATAACGGTCAAGTAAGACACAAAAGAACAAAAGGAACATAGAGTGCAGAATATGCAGAGAAAGTAGGAGAATTCGACAGGCAGATCTCGGCTTGACCTCCCTCTTGGTCACCCATTCTACAACCCAAGAAGGACGAGCAAAGGTATTTCGGGTCATCGTGAACGTCACTTCATCCCAATATACATGACAATCGTACCACTTTTGTGTTGCGGTCGTTATGTTCAAACATTCTTATAGAGTAATAGAGGCTCGCCAATGTTTTCGATCTCGGGAATGGTGCATTTCAGATCAAAGGCTTTGGCAAGGACAATCTTGAAGATCTACACTGTCCGTTAGTACGGCTCGAGTTCATATGTCCATGAGATCATACTTTTTGCACGTTGATGCTGTGACTGGTACTGCTGAAGATCAAGCTCGCTTTCATCGCCTTGGCAAATCTCTTGGCCTGAGGAGGCATCAGCACACATGTTCGACCAGATCTTTCAAGTCAGCCGTGCCTACCTGGATTGAAATCTCTTCTTGATCTTCTCGAGGAAAGTTGACAAAGTGGTCATACTTGGTGCCGACCAGGAAAGGAATAGCTGTCTTGTTAAATCCACGGCCCTGGCGGTACCATTCCTTGATTGAGTTCAATGTGCTCTTGCGAGTGAGATCGAACATGAACAGAATAGCGACGGCATCATTGCACACAAGGGGAAGCATATTGACGAATTCGCGTTGACCGCCAAGATCCCAGATCGAGAACGTGATCTCCGTGTTTCTGATGGAGATTGTTTTTTCCATGAAATTTACACCTGTCGAAAACAGTCAGAACATGTCCAGCACGCAGTCCAGAAGAGCGGCACACCCAAGGTCTGGATATAATCTTCGTCCCAGCTGCCCTCCACGTACTTGACCATCAAACTTGTCTTGCCAATTTGAGCATCCCCGACCATTCCAACCTTGATCACCACACTATTCTTCGTCGGTTGGGATGGTTGTTTCTGACTGACATCTTGAGAGGTTTGCGAAATTCCTTGTCGCTGTTCAGGGCCGCTAGACAATCCGGAACCTGGCCTCGATGACGACGGCGGTCGTGGCAGTTGGGTTAATGTCGGAGATGCGGTGAATTGAGACTGATCGTTCTCTTGGTTTTGAGATTCACGTGCAGATGGGGAATCGAAACCGCCAGCGTGTGAGGTGTAATGAGCACGAGAGTCGCTGCTGTATCCATTGTGAAATTCCGGAGGTCCCATTGCTTCCGAGCCAGCCATCTCAAGGTTCTGTTGGCGACCGGTTTCTGCGACATCCGGGACACCAGGCATAGGCTCCGGTACATCCATGTCGCAATTTGTAAGCTGGTTAGGAATGACTCCACGACCTGAAGTGATACGTCTTCCGTTAATTCTCCGATCGCCTGGCAGAGCGGGGAGCACGAGGGAAGCTGAAACTGACCTAGTTGCAGAATGCCGGTAAAAGGCAGGCTTCTCAAAGCCGCATGAGATGCGGTTCGGCAATTGAAGATCAAATACTTCGGCGATTTGAATTTTAGGTTTGATAACAATGACTCGAAGGAGGAAGATCACTCGATGGAGCTTCTGTTTGTTTTTGTTATGCCTTTGCTGGAACAGATGACGTGGGCGGTAGCTGAACCAGCAGACGAGTAAGCAAGGGAATAGACGACTGAGAAAAGACAAGCAGCGCTCGGACCACAAACTAGCAGTTGACAAGAACAGCAGGACTTTAATCGAGATGGACGAGGTTTTCTGAGATCCCTTGGGATGGCAATGCCATCGGGTCGGTCAACCCAGCTCCAGACTGAAGCGGGCGCCCGATCTACGCTAATCCGCGATAGGCTTAGCGCATATCCCACCTCAATCTCTGGACAAGAAAAAAAAGTTCCTGAACCCTAACCATTGATATCCCATCAAGCGTCTTTTCATCCTGTCGCACGACTGGTTCGTGGACACTTCTACCGGGATATCACATCATAGTACTACGACAGAAATGTCCAAAAGAGCTGCTGACGCGTCTGAGGAGCACTCCGCTGCCCTGAAGGCTGGAGAGCGGCCGGTCGCCGATGCCATTCCGGACGAGGCGGGGGAGTTCGAGGATGAGTTCGAGGACGAATTCGAGAGTGAGGACGAGATTTTGGAAGCTGGTGTCGATGGAAGACCTGATGCAGAGCGCGAGGAAGAGGAAAGAGGTCTGTGAGCCGGTTTCTGCTTCATGAGCCGCTCGAATCGTTACTGACTGCGATGCGATGGACAACAGACGCTATGGAGGTAGACAAACAGACATTCATCCCTGGAAGAACAAAACTAGCTCCTGGAGAGGTACTGTCTCCGGATCCGTCCACATACGACATGTTACACACGCTCAGCACACCATGGCCTTGTCTCTCATTTGACATTGTGCGCGATTCCCTGGGCGACAACCGAAAGACATACCCTGCGACCGTCTACGCAGTTTCTGGTACACAGGCGGCGGGAGGAAGAGCAAAGGAGAACGAACTGCTGGTGATCAAGATGAGCGGTCTCAGCAAGATGGAGAAAGAGAACGAGACAGATTCGGAGAGTGATTCGGATTCAGATGATGATTCCGATGACCCGATTCTCGAGTCGAAGAGCATTCCACTTGGATCAACAACAAACAGAATCCGCGCACACCAAACCCCTTCCCAGTCCGCCGACTACTCCAAGCCGCCACAGACCATCACGGCGACCATGCTCGAAAACTCCCAGGTTGTTATCCACGATGTGACTCCTTATCTGACCAGCTTCGACGTCCCTGGCACAGTGTTGCCTCCTTCAGCCTCCAAGCCCCTCTCGACCCTGCGCATGCACAAGTCCGAGGGTTACGCTCTGGACTGGTCCCCACTCCAGCCCCTTGGAAAGTTGTTGACTGGTGACAACGACGGATTTATCTACGTTACAACCCGCACTGAAGGAGGAGGTTGGGTCACAGACACCCGGCCATTCACCGGCCACACCTCTTCGGTCGAAGAGCTACAATGGTCACCAAATGAGCGAAATGTGTTTGCTTCCGCCAGCAGCGACGGAAGCGTGAAAGTTTGGGACGTGCGGTCAAAGTCACGCAAGCCCGCCGTTGACGTCAAGGTCTCCAACGCGGACGTCAATGTCATGAGCTGGTCGAAGCAGACGTTCCATCTCCTTGCCACTGGTGCTGATGATGGACAATGGGCTGTCTGGGATCTGAGGCACTGGAAGCCGAATGCGTCCGCCCCCTCGTCACAGATCAAAGCATCTCCAGTGGCAGCTTTCGACTTCCATCATGAGCCCGTCACCAGTATTGAGTGGCACCCCACAGACGACAGTGTTGTTGCTGTCGGTTCTGCCGACAATACCGTCACCCTCTGGGATCTGGCTGTGGAGCTTGATGAAGAAGAGAGCCGCGAGGCCGGCCTGGCCGAAGTGCCTCCCCAGCTGTTGTTCGTTCATTACATGGAGTCTGTCAAGGAGGTTCATTGGCAGGCTCAAATGCCTGGTACCATTATGGCAACAGGCAGCTCTGGATTTGGGTAAGTTCTTCAGTTGAAATTGTTCTATGAGCTAATGCTGACTCCTTGCGACAGTGTCTTCAAGACTATCAGTGTGTAAATAATTGGCATGTGCATGTGGCACTCAGTCTTCTTATAAAATGACAATACCAACAATCTTCTACTGCTGTCATTTGATGAACATATTTTATAGATTCTTACATAGGGTTAGTACAGCTCGGGATTGAATGAATGATTATGAACTGCATCGACGAATCTGTATCCATGTGACACTACCCTGGCTCAACATAGCGCTCAAGATTAGTGGAGTAAACGTGCGATTGTCGATGTGACCAGCCACGGTCTAGATACCTAATTCTGTGGTGGTCCTGGTGGATTTCTGGGGAAATGCGGGCGAACCAATCATTGGCAGGGTATTCTACTCGGATGCGGGGAAGGTTTGCAACTCGGGACTCCAACACGAGCGACTTTTCCAGCTTGAACTCTCCTGGTCTATTCTTTTCTCGCTGATGCCGTTGAACAGCCTTACCAGACGTCAAATCTTCATATTAGACCTGCAGACTGACAACTAGGCATTGTCCATGTTGCCCTCCGCCCCTTGCCTTGTCCCCGCAGAGCTCAACGCTCGTCATCCACCCCGCAATTGGCCATGAGAATCGGAAGGGGCTGCGAGCGCTGTCGCCATCGTCATATTCGGTGCACAATTCGTAAAGGGGCATTTTCCTGTAATCCCTGTTCGCGCTTGGGACGTGCGTGTCGGCTCGATCCGCCATTTCGGTTCAGAACTGTTCATCACGTCTATCAGAAAAGCCATGGCACCGCGTCGAAATTCGACCTCGTGTGGGATCCGCATCAGACTTGGGTGAAGACTCCTGCATCATGTATATTGTGTCTTGTCCTTTATCCAATCATCAACGGTGTGCTAATGATTCCAGTGACGTTTGTACTTGAATCGGCGGATGATTCTACAGAATGGGGAGGGACAGATGCGCTGCAAGACTCTCAAGATGAAGCGCAACCGCCTTCAGAACAGATTCCAGCAACACCTAGAGCTGTATTTCCGGAGATATCATCCCTACTCATACCACAATCAACAAAGTCTTACGATGCAGTGATTGACAACCACCCGCTAGACGTCTCAAACCCTCCACCGATCCCGTCAATACCTGACGAAACACAACTGATACTTCCCTCGTCTACTGCCATCTCGCCAGGCGCACTAAATAGTATAGTATCTCCTTTGGCATCAACAGCTTGGACGGATGCGACATCCCCATGGAGTCCGATAAGCCCGCGGGCGATCACTTCGCCGAAGTTGTCCTCTCGCGAGGCATACTTGTTACGCTCATTTATATCCAAGATAGCTCCATGGGTATAAAATCTCCCCGTCACAAGATGCTACATTGCTGATTTTCACAGACCGACATATGCGACTCAAGCTCACATTTTTCGACCGAGGTACCACGCCGGGCATTGGAAGTGCCTATGGTCCTCAAGGCAGTTCTAGCTCTCGCAGCTAGGCACGACGCCATCCTGTCAGACTCTAGCGACTGGGAAGCCGCTGAATATCACGGTCAATGTCTGCAACTCTTGATCGCTGCGCTGGCGCAGCCGGAGGATACGTACGACGACAACCTCCTTATCACGGTAGTGATTTTACGCATCTACGAGGAACTGGAGAGCAGCAACGACGAGAAGTACCATTTGTTCGGCTCAAACCGTCTCCTGAACACCATGTCCAGGTCGGCATCATCTGGGGGCCTAGCTGAAGCCGTGAGCTGGCAGTTCCTGAGGCAGGCGATATATGCATCTGTCGTCCAGCACCAGCCCATGCAGCTGGACTTGGAGAACTATGAGAGCTCGGCCGTCTTCCACCGTCGCGACGATGCTGCTTATGCCAATATCATCATCTACCTCTGTGCTCGGATTATCCAGTTGTGTGAAGGATCGCACACTCGTGGCATGGACGAGGAGACATGGCGCCAACTCTCTGATAGTGTTGAGCAATGGCATCGAGGAAAGCCAATCAGTTGGCAACCGTTGAAGTACAAGTCGGCGAACATTGCGGAGAATCGACCGTTCCCTGAGATCTGGATGATGTCTCCGCCAGCAGGTATGTATCGTAGCCTATGGACCGGAATGTGCTGACAGTCGTAGTGGTCGGAATGCAGTACTATCACACCTCCTGTATATTTCTCACTCTGTCAAACCGACACTGGCAAGTCGCGAGTGACTACGAGCTGGCCCGTTCGCAACGTATAGTAGAGGTAAGTTCCTGCAGGTCTTGGGAAAGACGGCTACTAACGGGCTAGAATACAATCGCATCCCACCTAAACATGGTCATCGGCTTGTCCATGTCGAATGAAACGGTCGAGAATGCATACTTTATGGCGTGCCATTTATTACACCGCTGTAAGTTTCGTATTTGAGCTTTCTCGATCATACTGACCATGATAGATGGCTACTGTCTGCGACATCCTACCGAACAACGCGGGTCATTGCGCTTCTTGGCCCATGTGGAAAAGACAGTGGGCTGGCGGACGCAGTGGATGATACGCGAGCTGGAGAAACAGTGGAGTGAGCTGCAGGGACTGGATACGTGGGGGGAAAGCCAAGTCTAGCTGAGAGTGGAGTCTGCAAGACTGCATCCGTCTGCATTTTGGTGGACTGATTCTCTTTCTATGCGATGTATTATTTGGATGCCTGATTTGAGCGGGGTGGGCGTTCGTGAAGACTTTATAAATAGATGAAATCGATATCCAGGATGGCTCCGCTTTTGCAGTTGCGTCGTCGCTTATCGCCCAATAGAGGCAATGATTCATCCATATCTAGGTGGTGTCGTGGGCACGAGTACACCATCACCATCAGCCCAACTAACACCCTAATCCAACAAACTAAGCAGAAATACTCTTAATCATCTCCTCCAACTCCCTCACATTCCCACCAACAACCCTCTTCTCCAGAGGCTGCCCATCCTTATACAGCACAAACGTTGGCATCGCCCGGACATTCATCTCCTGCGCCACAGAGCGCACCTTGTCGACATCAACCTGGATGAATCGCACATTGGGGTACGTCTCGCTCAGCTTCCCGATAGTAGGCGCAATGGCCTTGCAGGGACCGCACCAGGTGGCGAAGAAATCGACGACGACGGGGCCGGTCGAGGTGAGGGCTTTGTAGACGACGGGGCTTTGAGTATAATTAGTGCCTTTGTTTTTTGATTAGGGTTATTCCCGGGAGCGTACTTATCGACCTGAATGACCTTTCCCTCAGCCATGGTTGCGGCGGGGTTGGAGAAGAAGCGGTTGTAGATAAGGCGGATGGCTATCAGATTAGTGAGAAGGGTTGCGAGGTGATGAGAGGGGCGGGAGACGCTCACCAACGTAGACGACGAGGGCGAGGATAATGCGGGAGTAGTCCATGATGCTGATAGAAGAGTGGTTGAGCAGAGTATGGGCCCGTTGACTGGATGGGAAGATGCCGATGTGTTGTGTTGGTTAGTAAGCGGCGTGCAATCCAGCATAAAAATAGTTATGCAGCAGGTGTTGTTCGCACTTCGCAGCGAAATACTAGTAGCAGATAACAAGTTTCTTGAGATGTGGATATCGTATCACTCAAGACAGGTCTGGATGGATGTGATTACACTAGATCGCATCTCCTACACTACAAGGAAAGAATGTCATCATTGTCGATACTGTCGGATTCTACCGCCGAATCCATTCAGGATATGGGCATCAGCACTCAAATTTAGTAGCACCCGATCAACGGAGGGGTTGACAACTCTGTTGCCTGTTACCTTTCCATCGACATTCTAGCTAGTCACAGCTGTGCCTCTAATCGCCTGCTATTAATAGCACTAGACAGATCAAGGATATGTGCATTGCTCTAGCAACTGCTCGCGAAGACGGCTTGACTCGAATCCATGAGGAGCAGTCCTGATGACGGCCTTCTGTTAACAAGCAATGATGAATAGTGTGAGCACCTCTTCCGCAACTATATCTAGTACTGTCTATCTATCTATCTACGGCCATGAGTTGTTAATTACACTGACACACTCCAGACTTGGCATCACAGCGGGCCTGGGCAGTGTCTTGTCGAGATGCTCCGATAGGCTGTCGAGAGATTCGTTTGTTGAGAAGTCACACAAGCACCTGGCAAACATAAAAACATTGCAGATTGTTCTTATCAAATATCGTTTAATGGAAATGCAAGGATCAGGCATCAGCATAATGTCAGCGAATATGGCCTCGCATCTCTCCTTGCCACGGTGGGAACTGGGACGAGCAGACCCTGAGAGGAGCTAGTGCTGTCTTTGATTAACGACTGTTGATCTGCGTCTGATTCGCATCAAACCGAATTCCATCCGCCCGCAGACCTATGAGATTCGTTCAAAAAGTCGGGATGTCCCTAGGGTCCAATCCTCAAGAGCATGGGCTCAGCCACACCCGATGTCAAGGTCTGCGTTCATGGATGTTCTTCAGGACAGTTATCTATGCGAGCTTTCCTACTCAATGATAGATAAACTATGAAGCAAATATCTGATACCCATCTCCGAGGCATAACAGATGACGCCGCTCCTCTTCTGTCTGCTCCTAGCGCTGCAGCGCGTTGCAGCCGATGACGATTCGGATTCCGATTCCAACGCAAGGTGTAAGTCTGAAATGTGTGTCCGTACCTGGTCGACGGCTGAATAATCAGGCAACACCAATGCGAACATTACATCCCAAGCCGATGCAGACTCTATCGGCTCCTGTCAAACCGTCCGCGGTAGTGTGACCATCAAGAACTCTACGAGTGGGACTATCAACCTCCACGGAGTTCAGGAAATCCAGGGCCCTCTCACAGCTGACGGAACTTCGAACCTCAATTCCTTGATAGCGTCGGACCTGAAGACCATCACTGGAACATTGACCGTGGCGAGCAATGATGCGCTCAATCAGATCTCAATGTCCAATTTACAGACCGTTGGAGGAGACATCAAGGTGGAGAACAATCGAAATCTGAAAGATTTGTCTTTCAATGGCCTGGATGAGATCAGAGGGGGGCTGACAGTTTTCGGCGATCTCAATCGGTTCGTTCAAGTATATTCTCCCTGAACTTCACACAAGACCTGACGAGGGTAGAATCTCGTTCTCGAACCTTGATGCCGTTCGGGGACCGACAACAATCCATAGCTCAGGCACCTTCAACTGCTCAAGTTTGGATAGTCAACGGTCTGGAGAAGACAATGTATTCCAAAGCTCGTACTCCTGCACGACCGGCGAAAGAAACAAGTCATCCAGCAGCGATGGACTCAGCACCGGTGCGAAAGCCGGAATCGCCGTGGCAGTGGTGATCGTCGTCCTGCTTATTTTCTTCTTCCTTTGGCTGTTCATCCGCCGTCGCAAGCGCCAGCAGAATCGACGGACAGAAAAAGTAGTACCAGCAGTTGCCACAACGCCAACACCAGCTCCCAGCGGCCTTGCTACCAAGACAGAAAAGCCGACTCCAGAACCCACGCCTCCCCCAGAGGACGTGGAGAGGAGTATCCCCCGAAAACCACTATCGCCCCTACCGGTCGCACACGCGAGATCCTCAGTCCTAGCATCTTTGCTCCCCGGGTCCGAGAGAATGTCTGTTCCTGCGACATTACTTCCTGGGTCCGGTCCATCATCCTCGGCCTCTGTGTCCCACCGGAGAGTCACTTCCGATCCCACGCTATTTTTACATCATATAGTACCCCCAGCGCCACGGCCTCCCCCGTCCGAGATGGATGTGCCGATGCTAAACAGCGGGAATGTATACGAGGTGGGGACCGGTAAAACAAGGCCCCAAACGCCTGTATATGAGCTGGATGGAGGAGGAATGAGCAATCACCAGCAGCCGATCAACCACGAATAATGATTTGATCTATGAATGTCCACATAAGCTGTATGCAAGTAGACAATACGCAAATGTTATTGGCAGGTACCAAGCTCGTGTACGAACCAAGGGGTCAACCCCCCCAACCACCTCACCCTGCAAATCCCTGGAGGAAGTTGATACTCTCCTGGATACCCACCCATTTCTCGACATGACCATCCTTCTCAGCCTTATCTGATAGAATCGTATCCGCTACAAATATCAAGAACGTAGCCAGCCTTGGAACAACTTATCCGCCATCCCGTCACGAGGTAGGCAGGTAATAATAGTCGATTGTTCCTAGACGGTGATCTCCTGTTTAGGCAAGTTTGTGTGCTTCCGTCAGTTTCTTCGCAACATGAACATGATGAATGCACTATTCCGTTTCCGAGTACGTGAGATATCCAAGTCATCTATAAGGTCCTCGTATCCAGCAATACTATACGACAAATACATAACCAAACCAGCTAGGTCTGCACCCTCACTGCCTGCAGTGTCTCCCCATCGGCCAACGGCCCACACCACCCATACACATCACACCGACACTGCTCAAAGCGCGGACAATAGATATCCTCCATGCCAAAGACCACATGCCAGACCTTCTCAAAAACCCACCCCACCCCAAAGCTATCCGTCAGCTTCGTCTCCGCCGCCCAGGCCAACATGCGCTCATAATCCCGCCTCGGGCGCTGCAGGATCCGCTCCCTGCTCACCGCGAACTGCCCGCAGCAGACATTCCCGATGTGCTCGGGGACACGCTCGGCGCCGACGTCAAAAAGCGTCTGGTACACCTGCGGGAAGTGCGCGCGGATATCGTCCTTGTCGATATCGATCTGCGTCGGGGACCAGGGGTGCACGTTTGTCGGACAGCCTGGGTTGTGTTCGCAGCGGAGGTTGACGTAGCCCTGTGCGGCGACGGCTTCGAGGCGGAGATTGCGCAGTGCGGTGCTGGTGTGTGAGCCGAAGAGGTCGTTGTGCCATTGGTCCTTGTTGGCGTGGATGAAGATGGTGTAGGGGGGTAGTTGGTCGTAGAAGTCGACGACGTAGGAGAGGTAGGCGGCTGCTTCGCGGCCGCGGGTGGTGTGAGGGACGAGGAGGTGCGGAGAGGGTTTGGGGTCGGTGGTGTAGATGAAGGGGATGGCGTCGCTGTTTCATCTCGACATCAGTATATGACTGGGGGTTCGAACTAGGTGGAGGATGACGCACTGATCACGGCAGTATTCCAGCAGCCAGGAGAGATCTTCCGATTGTGTCGCGGCTAGCACCAGCGCAATACTGCTGTTGGATGAGTATGTCTTGGTGATGTCTGCGAGTTGCTGCGTCACGGAATGGTGATTTTGCTCGATTTCTGGCTAGTCAGTTGTGGCCTATTTGGAGAGGGGCGCAAACTCACCGTCAGGCTCCAGCGCGAAATATTCCCGCGAATACAACGTTACGCTCAAGAACCAAAGACAAATCACCGCCGCGCAAGTTGTGATTGCTGTCCGGCGGGCAGGCCATCTGGACAGCCGTCTTCTTGACATTGTCAGCGCCAATGTCTGTTTCGTTTCCTATTCCAGGAGGATCAAGTGAGAAGAACATCCAGCGGAAAGAAAATTCAGAATAAGAATGACAGGTCAACTGACGGCCATGCGAGGTGTCATCGCCATAATCACCCCTGTCATGCAGGGCCAACTACAAGGTAGACTAGCATTTCCATCCTCCTCGAGACAAGGTTAAGAACCCGCCTTGCCTTGCCTTAGTAAGAGGTGGTCTATCTACTGCGTAATACATCCAGAAACGAGCTACTCAAAGAACCAGGGAAAATTTGGAAAAGCAACGCCGCACCCGCCAAGTGGCCCGCCCCACAGCAAGAAGTCTGCCAATTGGTGCAATCATACGCCCAGCCTTAATTCCTGGCCATTTCTGGCGGTGATGGGTCTGCTTCTCTCGCTTTTACTGGCTGGTCATGCGCCCTGGCCAAGAATATCAAATTGCGATTGGTCAGGAGCTAATGCTCACAGCCGCCCCCACCCACATTAAGTTCCAGATTGGCCTGACTCGGATCTGACGGGTTCATTTCTTGAATACGACCTCACCCAATCACATTCTACCATTCCATTTGGGAGCTCAGTGCCTCAATGCTACAATACTTTGGCAAGATTGATAAAATGCGTTGCAAAATAGCTGAGGAGACGTGAATTCTCTGGATATCTGGAATAAAATATGTGCAACCCCTCTAGGTTTGCTTTAGGATATTCGATGAGTGAGCTTCAATGATTATGTTAATTCTGCCTAAACAGCGTGCTAAGGCGATATAAGGTCGGGTAAGGTAACAGACCCTATTTCCGATTCTGGAATAAGATAGAATGAGTGATATCGAAGCCTAGGGCCTCCAGTTATTGTCTTAATATCAATATATTAATCGTAGCCTCTCAGCCTCTAAGCCTCTCAGCCTCTGAGTCTCTGAGTCTCTCCTAAAGGATAAAGCTCAAAGCTTGCTAGCAGTTAGTCTCTGACCGTCTGACGTCCTGATCCTTGTGGACACAGCCTCAGAGAATCATACTGGCTTTCTATGATTCTACCCGAGTTAGATGCATGTATAGTATGAATTATGCGGAGGTTTCCAGAGACCACACATTCTAAACAAGATAAAAGATGCTGATAGCTGATAGCTCTAGACCTTGGAATCCTTGTTAGTACACTGTAAGCCACAGGGTTACATCGTTTCTTTGGCTAATATAATTCGAGCTTTCAAATCAACAGGGAGATGGACTAGCATTAGATTATCTCCACAAGTACTGTGTGTACTTTGTGAGTAGACCTAAGCAAAGCAAGACCCTGTGAATGGAATAATGGGTAATATGAGTACATAACAGGGAATTCAAAACTTTCAGTAATTATAATTTATAGGAAACTGTGTCTACAGATAAGCTCATGAGAGGCATGGTGGCATTTTCTCCCTGAAGGTCAAGATTCACGTAGGTGGCGGTGGGAGCCAGAGAGCATCAACATGCCCAGAGAGTGGGACTGCGACACCCTTTACCCAATCAGGTAGGTTACAGTCACATGACATTGGGAAAAGATTGTGCTGCGCATGTGATCTCACTTTAGGCTTAGCGTCAGGCTCAGGGCTAGGGCTTAGTACTAATAGGGCATTACCTTACAGAAGTTATAAGCATTAAGATGCCACATTACATGGCAATAGTATAAGCTTATAGCGGTTACAGCAACTATAGAAGTCAGTAAAGATGTAAGTGTCTGCCGGCTGTCATTCTAAGAGAGTTTAACAGAGCTTAATCTGTCCCACAATGTGGTCTTGTGTCATGGGGCCCGCGAGGCCTAGGGGGTTGGGGTAATATAAGCATGTTCTAGGCTGACGATTCCTCTTGGAATCGTCATTGGAACCTTTTGGTGTTGGGGTAGTAGCTGCCTAGAACACTACTTCTTACATCTTGCTGGAACTAGCATGCGCAATCCTGTGCTTTGCTTGTACTTAAGTTCCTGCTATGATGGCGGCACTGCTCATACACTTCTTGGAGCTTCCTCTTTGAGCTTTCTGTTGTCTTGGGTCACGCGGTTGAAAATGCAATAATGAATTGCTAATCCATCCTATCACTGATGTTGGCATCCCGAACCGGCTGCATCGAACGATAGATAGTCTAACATACGGGTTGAGATGCACAGGGCTATTTCCAGTTCTTAAAATGATTCCTAGCGAATTGTCGGGGTCTAGGTATCACATCGGCACGCGTCAACTGATTTCGGGAGCTCATGTCCATCGGAACGGGCCCGAAGATACTGGCTAGGCTGCCAGGACCGGGACGAAATCCGGAAATGTCAACAGCGCAGGCAAGTATTGGTCTCCCTGGTACTTGGGGAGTGCCTGGAAGAAAGGGAACTTGATAATTGGCTATGTTATAGTAACATTGAGAATTTGAAGATCAATCCAATCATTCGCACGGAGTAGTTTGTAGCCTTTCTGGCATTCGCCTCTCGTCAACGTGAGCTGGAGATCTCCCAACGACCGTATCTGTCTCACTCTACGGAGTATAGACGCCTCTTTTCTGAGGGAAGCGATGACTGTCTGCTCGAAACGAGTGTTTCCAGCTATGAAAGACTGACACGCTGACAGGAGGAATTAACCAATTTTACCTGGAGGATGCGGATAATGAACACAGCAGAGGAACGGAGAAGCACCGAATGGACAAAAGGGAAAGCCGAGGCACTGATTGGTTCATGGAGGGGAGAAAGAAGGAGACCTAAAAGGGAAATTATCCGTGCGGATCACATGACCAGCGCGGTTAATTCCTGTCTGCCGCGAATCACGGGATCTGGGAGCGGAGGAATGTCTGCCGATGTGACATCATCCCCATTTCCCCCTCCGCCGATTCCCCCGATTTTCCACCAGAATGGTTATGTTATTGTCGACGAAGAAACGATCTGGTGGAAAATGTCAAGGGTACAGAGTTAGTGTACGACAACTACCCTGATTGATGACTGAGAGCTACCACTGATGAGATACTCCGATGACAATCAAGCAACTCCAGATAGGCCATATGTCATCGAAACACGACATCCCACGCTGGAAAGATTTAAAACCCCTCAGTGGGGCATGGCGGGGGTTGGAGTTACCCATCGAGGACGATGATAGGATTCTTATTACTGGTCAATATGGCAATGGCCTCGAATGAGGAGTAGTGGACGCGACCAGGCCAAACTTTCACGTCTTGAGGCAGGCCGGCTGCCGTCAAGGTTCCCATCCCACCCCACCGGAGCAACTGCGAGCTCCAAAGCTGTTCCTTATTTCTATCCTCCTCTTCCTCTGTAATTCCATCCCTTCGCCTCGTCTCCTTTGGCATTCTCTCTTTCTACTTGCGTCGCTTTTGATACCCTTCAAACCCATTCACCCCACACTCCCATCACGATGTCTCTCGGAAAGAAGGTCACCCTCAACACTGGTGCTCAGATCCCGTATGTTTGGATTCCGTCTCGTCCTTGGAAGTGCGAAAGTCAATAGCTGACCCTGAGCCAACAGTCAGCTGGGTTTCGGTACCTGGCAATCTGCCCCCGGTCAAGTCGGTGAGGCTGTCTACCATGCCCTGAAGGCTGGTTACCGTCACCTGGTACGTACACATAACCCGGATAATACACTATCTGAAGTATGATCCACTAATTTGATACAGGATCTCGCGACTATGTAGGTTCTACAATGATTCCGAATCCGTCTATAATATACACTGACAGCCGAAGCTACCAAAACCAGCGCGAAGTCGCCCAGGGTATCAAGAGAGCCTTCCAGGACATCCCCGGCCTCAAGCGTGAGGACCTCTTCATCGTATGTCGGGCTCAATCAACACAATCGCCTTGCTGTGTCATTCTAACAATTGCAGACATCCAAGCTATGGAACAGCCAGCATCACCCCGACGTGGTGGAGAAGGCTCTCGATGACTGCCTTGCTGAGCTCGAACTCGACTTTCAAATCATACACAGTCAGAACCCAAATCGCCCTTTAACTTCAGGAAGCGCAACGAATAATGAACTTTCAGACGATAGCAACAGAGATTGGGCTTCATGTTGATACTGGTTCCGCTGAGGGGGAGGAAGCAATTGAGCCGGGCATGAGGCAGCCTGACCTAATAATTGTCACACTGTGACAGATCGATGATTGAGCTGGATCTTGATGTGGAGTGTTTAGAATCTCCGAAGTTACCCACCACTTGAGTATGGAGTTGGGATATTAACGAGGGCACAGTTGCAGAACTTTAGTGGGCAAAACTTATAACCCACTTAGTGCATCTCACGAAACAAGACACTTCAGCATATCCTCTACTACACGATGTCAGGTCACTCACTGTTAATACTGACGCGACCCTCCGCAGTTTCAAGATCCCCATGCGACCCTTGGCATTCTTTCAGCTTCTGAGCCAGTTGCCCAACATTCGCCATGTTTCAGCTGGAGAAAGTGCCTTCATACAACTATTTTCACTCTGTGCCCTCCGTGGGGAGAGACAACGTTCGTATACTTCTTCTTCATTTTGATACTGGTTCCGCTGAGGGGGAGGAAGCAATGTGCTGGGCACGAGGCAGCCTGACCTCATAATTATCGGCGCCAGAGACAATGTCATTCACCTGGTAGGCGAAATGAAGACATACTGGACGTTTTATCTAGCACAAGGCAAGAGTCAGAAACACTTCTTATGACTTGGTTCTTTCTGGCCCCATGCGAGTGGCAAAGATAGCAATTCTGAAGGGAGATCTCCCACGATCTCCATTCCCATCAGGAGAGTTGAGTGGAGAGGTCCGCAAACTAACACTGGATGAGCTGAATCCAGCATTTGGTCGAGTGCCTTGAACGGCTTGCCAAGAACAATCACCACCTGGTATGATTGCATCGAAAGTCTCGAGCCAGAAGACAGGATCCAAGCATGGATTGTGGAAGGAGCGCTTCCATGTCGCGTGGTATCGAGTACCCACCGAGCTTTTGCTCGAGATAGCGAAGCACCTCGAGAGTCAAGCGTGGCTTAACGCGTTCGCCCGCACAAATCAACACACCTTCAGCATCATGAACCCATACCTGCACCGATATAACGCAGACTACCAGCAACACAGCGCTCTTGCGTTTGGTGCGTGTTAGGGACTCAAGAATGTCGTCAGACGATCTTTGGCGGCGAAGCCAGGCGACATCAGCGCAAAAATCGGCTCAATTATACCAACCAGCGACGAAGGGTTTCACACACCTATTTGTTACGCACTACAACATGGGCAAACGCGAGTGCTTGGGCTGCTTCTCAACGAGTATGGTGCCGATATTGAACAGCACTGTTGCAAGTCGATGACGCCACTGAACTATGCCGCGGGTCTGGGAAAGCTCGAATTTTTCTTTCAGGCGCTGCACTTTATCGTGCGTACCACGAGCCTTTAAGTTTGGCAAGCACTTGCGGCCCTCTGCGTTTCCTGGACAAATTTTGGAAATATGGATATTGTTGGATATCTGCTGCACTATTATTTCTACTAGCTAGAAATGGTTGACACCTTTAACGGATATTGGGAGAAGACGCTGCCAAATACCAGCGGCATGAGAGGAATAAGTGGGTGGTATTGGACTTCCATTTTCAAATGTATCTTACTTGCTCCATTTCTTTCTTGTAATGCATGCACCTGAGTGACAAACATTAGCACAATGGCCACCGAGCCACGTACCCATGGCCCCTTGACATTGCATAAGACTTTTCGCAAGTCCAGCGCGATATCTCCAACGCGTCTAAACACTCTTCGAATATCGAATAATATTCTCTCCTCCTGGCGGCTTTCTACCATGGCAACAGGCCATATTTACAGAAACTACCGCGAGTTTATTGTTGCATACCGATTGTGGACTGAGATCGCAGTAGGTACATCAATGAACTTGACCGTCTTGTTACTGAGCATCGCCTATTTAGACTTGGTGTTTGGGGAAGATATTAGAATAGAACAAGGCGCCGCCAATACCAGCAGCATGAGAAGGATACGTGAGTGGTGTTGCACTTCCATCCGCAGTTTCAGTGGTTGATAAGCTGGAAGTAGGCAAAAATCAGCGCAAGTCCAAAATGCTCATCACTGTTGAACGAGTCCTCTGTCTCCTCTGAAGCCACCTCAGATTGGGACTTCGCCCCAGTCCTCAAAACCCATCGCACACAAAGACCGATTCCATATGTGAGGAAGTCTCGCGAGGCCTTGCGCCTTGCTGCTTGCTTCAACTTGCTTTTTCTTCTTTGTTGTTGGCTTCTGGTGATGTACTAAATAATATTAACCTTGTCTAATTCAGACTGTTGTAGTCAATGGGGAACTATGCCAAAACCTGAGCCTATGTCACTTACATTGACTTCCATAACAGTAGCAGAGCCCGTAGTGATGCATAGTGAGTAGTTGCTAAAGATGTAGTTGGAATTGGATGAGCAGACGCGGATGTAGCAGTAGGAGTAGATGTGGAGGCAGTTATAGAAGGAAACCGAGAGGCCCGCAAGTAGTCATTGCGCGATCACTGTCAGTGTGATAAGCCAATGTATCCGGGGCAATTGATAGCAATGTGTCCATGAGGATCGTGGCATTATCTTGCAAGGAATTTAGCATAAATAATGGAAAACAAGAAGACTTGCCATCCTAGAGCATAAAATTTGGTCTGGACAGTCCCTTCAGAGATCTATAACAACAACATAAAGAACACTTATGCGTGTTGTTTAAGGCATTAATATTATTAACTTTATATGGGTGGAGGTGTGTTTAGGGTGGTTTACAGCTATAATCACATTTATAACTTGAAAGCAGATTAAGTCAGTATAGCTAAAAGGTAGACAAGATGTGATGACCCTGCGTGCAGCACCGCGCTTGACTCTGTAGTCTCTGATGTAGTCTCCCTTTGCACGTAGTTAGCTGCATTAGGAAGGGAAGGGCTCAGGGCTCAGGGCTAGGGTTGGTGGAGGTCTCATACCACCCACCACCACCTTCGGTCCTCTCACCTTCTCCCTTCCCTCTCCACCTTTGTTCTTCTCGTGATAGGACTCAAACAAGAAATGATTACGTTCGTCTTTTCTGCCTGATCTGCCGGTTATCACAAGTTTACTACTCTTAAAAATTAGGAGATATACTCTACTAGTACACTACCTTAGATTCTAATTAGATATATATTTATTCTATTTAATTAATATAGTTTAATACCTGCTCTAGTATATTTATAATACCTATAGCTAGATCTATATTTCTGTTACAGCACCAACACCGCCGCACTGACACAAGGCGGATGTGATAGGCAGAAATGAAGGAAACATCGATCACCAATCAATACCGGAGCAATCACTGAGTGATTAGGAGAAATACTTAATCCAGATAGGGTTCTGCAGAGGAGCAGCACAATAGTTCCCTACTGAACTGTTTTGCTGACAACCACGTGACCAACTACCATATACCACGACTTGGCAATGGTAGATGGTATACAACTACCAACGATCACTA